ATTAATTTTAAAATTAAAAAAAATTTTTTTTTTTTTTTTTTTTTTTTTTTTTTTTTTATACATATATGTATATATTATTTTTTCGGAAAACTTTTTTTTTATTATTAATAGTTAGAAGTTATTCAATTTACAGATTAGAAAAGGAATAATTCAATAAAATATTATTGTAATAACAAAATAGAATGTATTACATTTTGCTTAAAATAGTATTCTCCCAATATTTTTTTTTATTCTTGTAACGTTTTATTCTTTTTTAAATCATATATTTTTAATTGCTTTTATTATTTTTTTAAACATTTATATTCATTTTTTAATTTATAAAATTCTTTCTGATAACTTTTTTTTTTTTAATTTTTATCATACTATTTAAATATTCAAAAATTAAAAAATTTATGTTAATAGAATATGTATTATTTTACTTTTATAAATTGTTTTTTGTATATATATTCTTTTTTAGTTAAAAAAAAAGAAAATAAAGTAATAAAATATACATGAGAATAACCTTAATAATAATTAAAATGAGCAATATAAATATAAAATAAAATTAAATAAATATTTATAATAATATAAAATATAAAAAAAATAGTATATATATTTACACATATGCCAAAGCAAACTAAGCAAATATCATAAATTATATTAAGAGAATAATTAAAAAAAAAAAAAATATATTTAAATATAAGATTAATTTTTTATACAAATAAATAGATATATGTTGAAAAAAATATTTTATATAATTATTGATTTATGTATTATGAAAAGTATAATAAAGACATTATTTTTATTTTTATTTTTAACAACATTATCAATCTATTTTATATAGATAAAATTCATGCGTTAATTATTTCGTTGCTAAAATATTAAGAAAATCTCATATTGTCATAGCATAAAAATTATTAATTAATATTTAAGAAATGGTACTATTAAAGTTTTTATTTTGACAAAATATTTACACGAACGTTTTTTTTTTTTTTTTTTTATTTATATTTTTATAATCAAATAAAAATTTTAATTAATATTAACAAATTATCGTCCTACTAATTATTAACAATAAATAAAAATCTTTTCATAATTATTTTTAAATTAAAAAAAAAAAAAAAAAAAAAAAAAAAAGTAAACAACAAACAAGAAATTAATGTACATATATATTTTTACTTAAGTATGAATGGTATATGTTAATTCTTTTTGCAAGAAATTATATATTTCATCTAATTTTATATTTTACTTAAATATTAAAATAAGTTTTGAAAGACGAAATTAAAAATATTGACTTCATTATTAAAAATATTTTATGTAACGAATTTGTAAAAAAATTATTTTATTTTTCAAAATAACTTAAAAAATTAAAAGAGTGAAATATAGATCGTTTATTTAATTTTATGTAAATTAAAGAACAAATAAAAAATATCATTAATTAGATTTAATAAAAAAAAAAAAATATAACATTTTTTTTTTTTAATAAATAAAATTATTTGCAAATATATATATATATTTATAATTTTCAAAATTAAAATGGAAGAAAAATTATGTGAATATCATTTTTTTAATAAATATATTAAGATGGTTATACCTGATAATTATTTGGACGTATCAAAATTTAGATTGATACCTGATAATCAAGAAGTATATGTTCATAAATTTGATAATAAATGTATAATTATTGAAATTTTATGTTATCAAAATATAGATGATAATGAAAAAGGGAGTTTTTATTTTTATGATTTAGCTAAAGAAAATGATAGTATAGAAAATATTATAATAATGAATAATAGTACCATACCTCATTCACAAAAGAACTATTTTTTAGTAGTTGGAAAACAAAAGGTAAAAAAACAAGATTCACAGGTATATGAAAACATTTTACTTTACATATGCATATTCCCTTTTAAAGAATATAATGCTGATATTTTAATAACATGGAATATACCAAAGGAAGATTTAAACATCCAACCAGAATTAAATATATTTAATGAAATGATACAATCATTTAGAATACTTGATTATGGTTTATTTGTTTAAATGTAACCAAATGTGTATAAGCATATTTAAAAATCAAGTGTCTTCTATTATTGTTAATCAACATATAAACTTATTATTTTATTATTTATTTCCAAAGTTTATTCAATTATTTATTTTTCATTTAATTTCCTTAACATTCATGAAAAAGCTATTTCATGTAAGGTGAAAATTTTATTTTTAAGTTACTAGCTTTAAATATAAAAAAAATTTGAATGATATTTTTTATAAATATATGAAAAATTTCCAATATACAATTTGTTTTATTTTTTTATTTTTTTTTTAAAAAAGGAAATAAATTTTTTATTTTAATTAATTTTCAAAAAGTGTTCTCATTATATTAAATTTAAATATTTTCAATGGACTATTTAATAATATGTAATTTTTTTTTTTTTTTTTTTTTTTTCTTTTTACGTTTAAGTTAAAAAAAAAAATCTAATTTTGAAAAAAAAAAAAAAATTTGTTTAAAATTTATTTAATGCAGAACAGCTTTTAGATATAATTTTTTACTATTACACATAAAAAATTTATATAATTTTTATATATTTTTATTTTATATTTTTTGTACTAAATTATTCAAATACTTTAAAATATGTATC